TGATGTCGATTAAACTTCCGCCAAATATTTACAGTGTACTGGCGGTTGACGAGAGAGCGAGAAGAAACAATTGTTTTTCTTTTGTGTTTCGTAACTCACTCCTTACTTTTAAAGCTGATTATTGCGTTTAGAAACATGAAAAAAACGTCAATAACAAGAAAAATAGTCTAGTATAATTAATAACTCAAATGTTCGCCCAACGCGCTTGTAAACAACAAACAATTTTTTTCTTCTGTTGTTCCTTCTTTTTCACTACCATCCTCCATTCAATCGATGTCGTGCATACTTTTTTGTCGACGTTTACATCATAGGAAAATTGAAAAACGATTAATGATCATTTTTGTTTGGTCGCAGCGTGTTATGAAGGAATAGAATAAAGTTTTTTGTGAAGGAGGGATTGATGAATTTTGTGAGAAGGGAGTGGATGAGAATGCACTTTGGCTTAGGGTGCTGTTGACTTTTTGGTGTAAATTTAAAAATTTTGATTTATGTTGAAGCTATTTTAGGGGTCAAATGGGAATATTCGCATACATATTGTGACAATTTAAAGGATGAGGTTGGACTGGGATCAAAGAAAGGCTAAAGGGTGGGTTAATTTAGGATTGTTCATATTTTGGGGATCTAATCGAATTCTTTTTCTATTTATTGGGAGGGGGGAGGGGGGTTATGTCTCCATTGCAAAATATTGTGTCAAGCGGAACAAACTTTACTTCAATAACTTCCAGATGAGTTCTCACTTTTTATAGTCATTCAATTTAATAATAAAAAATACTCAAAAACAACTCATTTTCCTGCCTACACCAAAAACAACAGTGAACAAGCAAAACAACCACAAGAAAGCCGTGTTTCAAAAAAGGTATTTTTTCTGCCAAAAACAAGAAAAGAACCTTAAAAATATTTTCTTTTCGTAAAATGTCAAAGTGAAAGGGATAAGTCAACAATAATAAAAAATGAAAATAATAATAACAATAATAAGTAAAACATATTTCCCTAATCGTTTTGTTAACATAAAAATTTACATCCATTAGCTCTCTCTGGGACGATAATAAATCGCCGTATACGCGCTTGTGCTCAATGTTAATGTTAATTAGTGTGTTAGTCGATAACATGCGAGCACACAATCAAAATTAGAGGCAGAAAAACCAACACGATTACGGAGAGAATGAAAGGACTTTGTTCTCGATTTTTTTTTTGTAATGCCAAATTGAGTTTGAAACCGAGAAATCGTGAAGCGGAAATATATAATTAGGGACTTTCTGACCACTTCTACCCGCTTATATTATTTCAGACTCCTTATGTGGACGTGAGTGTGTGTCGGATGTAAATGTTCATGTGGACATTCATTATATTGTTTCGGGTCTTGTGCCACAAACACATATTAGGAACGAAAAATGATTCAATTAATTTTTATGCGTGTTCTTTTTAAGTTTACTAGTGCAATTTAGTGGAAATTATAGGACTTAATGACATTTTTTTATGTATTTATTTGATTCTGTTGTTTTTCTTCGTCTTCTTTTTAATTAATTGGAAAATTTTCGATCGAATAGTTTTTTTTGTTGTTGTATTTTTGGGGCTTGTTTTTATAGCTTTTGATTAGTTCTGAAGAAATTTGTAATTAGTTTTGTTAATAAAGAGCATAAAATTTTGTGGAAATTGTTATGAGTTTTCGAAAAGTTTCTGAATGATCTGATTCTCTGTGCTGAGGGAATAGTAAGTTGCTACGCTAGCCCGAGCGGCACAAAGGCTCCATTTGCCTTCCATATGGAAGCTATACGGAGCCTCCATGTTCCACCCTCCATTTGAAAATCTTCCGAAAACCTTACTATCATGGAACTTTGACGGAGCCAAAGCTCCTAAAATCCTCCGTGGGACGTGCATTTATTAACACCAAATGGAAGTCATTTGAGAGGTTTTGATGGAGGATGGAGGATCCATTTGTGGTAGTCAAACGGAGGTTTAATGGAAGTATTTTTCAAAGGATTTTTGGTACGATTTTCCACGTGTTTTTCTATGTTTCGCAATTTTTATATCAAGATTTGTAGCTGTATTAGTGGACTTAATTAAAGTACACTAACACTATTGAAAAATTTACAACTTAATTTAATTAAGTCGCAACCACAGCAATTTCTAAGTCTCGATCACATGCGTGAGAAACATAAGAAATTATTAAAAATTTTCATACAAATTAAACGACCCCATATAATAGTGATTTCTGCATGCGCTTGTGAAGTATGTAATTTCATACAAAATCACAAAAAATTATCCTTTTTTGCTTTTTTAAAGCTTGAAATGAAGCAATATGATTCAGTAAAGCTTTTCGACAATATTTCAATCCATTACAGTAAGATCTGACCTCTGTCTTTTGAAAATTCAAAAGCACGAGTTTTTCGGTATTTGATTTAAGAAAAAGCGGAGTTCATATGGAATCCAAATGGAATCAATATGAAGGATGAAAAAATAACCCTCCATTTACTTCCCACATAGTGGAGGTGGCTTTCATATGGATTCCATATGGAGACCACCCTCCACCTTGTGCCGCTCGGGTAGGGTGTAGCCTGAAGAGTTGGACTTAAACCATAAATTACTATGCAAAACATCGATTTTTATAGATTCAATCCCCTGCATCTACCCTCAAAAATGAAAAATCACACATTAATTTAATACAAATTCTACCTTCAAATATCTTCAAAACATTCAGAAATAAAAAACAAATAGAATCAATAATAACCTTTAATTTCCCCATTCTCAAGTGCTGATTAAATTTCATACAGCTGACAACTAAATTAATGAGGAAACTTTACTTAAGCAGAATAATTTATCATAATTTTATGACTTCATCAATCAAAAATGCTCAGTTGTGTTTTAAAATTCAGCCACGTCCTCATGCCATACCTTTTAATGAAAATTTTCATTTAGACACACATTGCATAATCTACGAAAATTTTCATGTCATTTGTTAAATTTCCTACACTCATTTGTGTAAAAACAATGAAAGAAAAGTCATAGAAGAGAAAATAAAGAAGGAGAAATGAGAATGACAAAAAGTTTGTAGCTCGAGGGAGGATCGGTTGTAAATATTAGTTTCTTAATTAGCAAATTTCCGTCAACAAATAAAGTGAGAGTAAGCAAAAGCTGTAGTTCGGAAGGCGTTGTTACTATGAAGTCAGCAGTTTAGGTAGTAATTTACTTTGTCGGCATATTCAGACCGTTATTGATTTGCTTTTGAATTGTAATGTTTTTAAAATTGATGAGTCGTTGCTTCGTTAATAAGTCATTGCTTTTATTTTTGTCAGATTATAAGTCAATACTTTAATTTTGACTCAGAAGTCAATCAACGATTTAAAACGACTAAAATGTAAGTCAGCGCTTTGAAGTTACAAAGAACATAAGTCACTGCTTTAAAGTTAAATAACACAAAGTCAGTACTTTAAAATAGACTCAAAAAGTAAGTCAACGATTCAAACCTGATAATTTTTTTTAATCTCAAAATCCAAAACTATCGACGTGCCAAATCACGGAGTGACTATAGCATTTACAACATAGTCATAGTCATAGTCAATCCAATTCATTTAGATCCCGAGGAATGTATGTGTTGGCTGTTATGTTTATTTATTTTTGTAATTTTGGAGACACATTTAGTTGGCTATTCGTTATATTACGGCAGCAGTATGGTGTTAGCATGTTACACATGCCTCATATTTATATGCCCTTCCATTTTATTTCTCTCATATATAAAAAATTGTCTCTAATTACATTCACCATTTAACACTTATAGGAATGTTTTGATGACATTTTATGATAAAGCTTTTGGGGACGTAAAACACGTGAACATTTATGGCCATTAAAACATGAAAATATTATCAATATTGTGTCAGTTAGCGTCAAAGAGTTTTTCTATTGCTTTTTTTTTATTTGTGCTGTCTGTTATTGATGTGTCATTTGGATGCTTCCCATTGTTAAGATTTATTGCACACAAATGTAAGACTCAATAATTTCTTCTACTTTTTCTTTATTTTGTGCTGTTTCTGATTTTATTCGTTCTTTGGAGGAAATGATGGAATAAGAATTGTTTTGTATTTTTCTTTTAAAAGTTTTTCTTTCTACTTTTTCGCTTTTGGGATTTATTTGGTGTGAATAATTTTTGAAAGAAGGTAAAAGGTGGGTTTGCTAGCTATGGGGTCTTTTTAAATGAATTTTAAAAATCTTGCACGCTTGCATAAGCCCTTTAGTCTTCAACCTATCTACCTGCACCCCTGATTCATTACCAAACCTTTCAATTTTTAGAACAACTCCTCGCGCACCTCCTTCCCTTATTCATCAATGTTCAGCCCATTGAACCAAAAAATTGATATAAAAAGTGGTGTATTTTGTCATTTCTTAGTGTTCTGTGAGAGGATTCGACACTTGGCAGATGTAGTTTATTGCTCATACAATTCAAACAACAGAAAAGTTTCTCATTCTATTCAGGAAAAAATAAAATTGTATTTCTTAGTTGCCAATATAGTTGACATTATTTGCTGTCTCTTGGACTGTGCACAATTCTTAAAGGTTCAAATGAGATTAATTTTCAATTTTTCATTTCTTGATAGTTTAATTTTCTATTTCAATGGGCTTAAGAATTGAGAATTAAAGTGGGATTGGGTGGGATTTAAGAGGTGTAAAGTTTTTAATTGGAATGTATTTTTAAGAAAAGACAAGTTTGGGGACATTTTTATAGTAAACCTTGTGATTGAGCGCTCTTCAGAGCTCGGAGTCGAGGCACTCGAGAAAAGTTGAATTGACTCGAGTCAACTCGAACCCTATCGACTTAGAGCTCTGAAGCTCCTTTTATGCAACCAAATGTCATTCCATGCTTAAGCAGATCCAGAAAATTCAATACAAAACAACAATTCTTTTATGTCTCCAAAATTTAAATTTTTCATAAGAAAAATTCATTAAAAAATATAAAGAAGTAAAATTAAATTTCTAAACCCCCAATTTTTTCTCTCTTCCACTTTCCAGGTATCCACAAATTAATTCTTAAAGAGATTTAAAATCATTTGTATTGTGGTGGAAATTCATACTTAACAGAGGATTGAAATCATTTTATGTTTCATCACACTTATTATATGGTGAGTATTTTTAATTAATTTTATGCTACATTTCTTACACGTTTTAATTACGAAGAAGCAAAGCCACGTGAATAATTAAGAGAAGATTTTTAATCCTCAAGTGAATTTTCTTGTCACTTGTGCTGCTCGTCTTGGTACAGTTTTTGTGCATTTGCTCTTTGTGATGGAAGTAATTAGGGGTTGGATTATTAAGTAATAATTAAAGGCATTTGCTGGAATTTGTGATTCTTTCTTGATTTTTAAGGGATGTCGATGGTTTAGCGTAGGCTTTCATCGTCTAGGTACTGCGATATGCTTTTTGGACCCTAATTTCTACCCGATTCATGTAATAAATTTAAGTTCTCATTTAAACATTGAAAAACGATAAAAAATGCATCCACTTGTGTACTTTAACAATCCCACTCATTTTAATACATTTAAATATTTTTTTCCTGCAAGCATCGAGCCACTGAAACAACGTCCGGCATTATTCTTTCCTCTGTTATTTATATTTCTTCCTGAATCTATTTATTTATTTTCCACTCTTCTTTGTTTTTCTATCGGAATGCAATTCCACGTTGAATTGAGAAAGCAACTGCGAGAAAACAATTTAAATTAATTTTTTTGTGCTTGCTTTGTAATTCTTTTGTGTAGTGGGATGGAGAAGTAGTTGTTGAGGAAGTGGGTTAAGGATAAATTAAAGTTTTATGATGATAAATGAATGGTGTTGACAGTTGATACTTAATTTTGCTAATAAAGCATTTTTGAGGGATTTGGACAGTTTTGAAGGACGAGGTGTGTTGAATAACCTAAAAATTTCATAATTAAATTACTAAAATCCGTCTTATTAAGAACCCCATTGCTCTAAAATTAGATAACAAATAGAGTCGTGAATCTGCTCAAGAGACACTAAAAAATACAGTTTAACATAATTTCAGCGCTCAAAAAAATATCACAACCAAATTGACTACATCAATATAAATGACATGATAATGTAAAGAAAAATTCATTACAATTGGAATTAATTACAATTCTTAATTAACTGGATTCATTAAGAACACGAAAAAAAGGGGAGTACAATGGCACATAGGCAAGGAAAGGTAGGAAGGATTAAGATGAATAATTTTTGTTTATATCCACAAATTTATTCATGAAGACTACTAGCTACAATAAAATAAATTTTATGCCAAAAAAAACGTTCAACTTGCAGAATATTTTTTATGGATTGCATAAATGTCGAATGAAGGAACCTCAAAAAAAAATCGAGGGCGAAACCATAAAATTTATATTTGATTTGATTAATCCTAATGCCATCATAATTGCATGAAATTAATATACGAATTATCATAAATTATTATTAAGGATGACCTTTAGGGATGTTTTCTCCCCTTTTTTTCGGACGGAAGGAACTATGGCCTACATTCAAACTCGATATCAAGAATCATATAAATTTCCTCACACCCAAAAACACTTTTAAATTCTCGAGAGAGTGAAAAAGGAACAGAAAAGCTTTAAATTTTGGATAACAATCAACAAGAAAGGACTAGAAAAATTAATATCATTCTGCCATATATCACAACATGGCCTGCTTAACATCTCATCCACCCTGCAGTAAAAAAGGGAGAACAATATTTTTTCATCTAGGATATAATCGTACATTAAACATAATAGTTTATGTATTTGTCTAAGTTTACCTGCTTTTTAACCCGTGAGGTTATATTCGTCAGAGATTTTTGTGTGCTTTAATTGAGATTGTTGAAGATCGAGAATCATAATCCAAGTAAATCCTTTGTCTTGTATTCATTATTACCTCAATTAGGACTTACTTTAGTGTTATCTTTTAAGTCTAAATCTGGCTATGGTTTCTAGTGATAACCCTACAACCACAAATCGAAGAAAAAATGAAAGTTTTATTATGACCAAGGTAGGAGTGGATCCACAGGGTAGCAATAGAAACCAGCTTCTTCCCAGATTACAAAATGTGATTTTGACTTTTTCATTATCCGATCCAGTCCGATATCTAGACTCAATCGTAAGGGCCAAGATCCTTTTTGTTGACTTTAGTAATGACTTTAAAAATTACATAAAATTCTTATTCTCATAAAACCATCTCAAGGGGTAATTTCCCTTTCGCTCTAAACTCTCTATCCATATACATGTGCTCTTTATCTTGAGCACAATAGTAAAACGAGGAACAAGGAAAAAAACAGCCAGCAACATTTTGATATAGGAAACAATGGAAAAGGTCGATGAATGGATAACAATGTAAAAATGAAAAGAAATAAAAACAACACAAAAAACTAAAGCAATAAAATTTTACAGTTTTTGATAGTTTTTGTTGTAAAAATAGTATGCCTATGTGTAATGAGTCCTCAAAGCAAGCCTCTGTTTCATGAGCTTGAAGATTCTTATATTGAAAACTTTTTTTTTATTATTAAAACTAAATATTTGATCAAAAATGCTCAATTTTCGTTCCTCAAAATTTCACTTTCGTTTGTGTTATGACTATTGATTTTGGCATGAATGAGAAGAGAAAATTATTCAGAAGGTGAGCATGTGTTTGTGAAGGTGAAGTATAGATGAAAGATAGTGAATGGATAAATTATTTAGAGAATAAAATTTTATGTCTTTTTGGATGTGAAATAAAAATTGAGTAGATATTTAGCAGGAACTAGAAATAAAATGGAGAATTTTGGGTGTTATTTGGAGGATATGATGTTAGACTTGATGTTAGGGTGTAGTTTTTTTTTTGGAACTTAGGTTTGTCTATCTTACAAGCTGATTAGGACCTTGCCTTGCTATAAAAATTTTGTGTTTTCTATTCAAAGCTTTTGTCTAAGACGACCATTGCTCCACTGTCTAGCCCTGACAACCTATCCCATGTCTCACCCTATGATAGATGCTAATCTTGAAAATTGTTAATTATATTAATAGAAAATTCCTTAAACTCTTAATATTATCTTCAATTTTAATCATATAAAGTTCTCCATACCTCCACACACCTCCACATCCAATATAAAAATTCAATTTTACTTATTTTTACTTCATTGAATAAAAAAAGGAAAAATATCGTAACGAGCTTATATACTTAAATGTATTAGACATTAGATGTGTAGCCTATTACGTTGGCTATTTACATTTCGGTCTTTTTTCAACCCTGTTCTTCTCGGAATTGAGATGATGAGACTTCTGATGCGTATGTAAATATATTTTGAATAATAGTCAACAATGAGGATGTTTTGTGTTTGGGTAGGATTTGAGGGGGCTTTGGGAAGGGGATTAATTGAGTTGGAACAGTTGGGGTAGCTATTGGAACAGAGAGACTTGTAGGTCTTGCCTCAAAATTTCGCACTAATTTGCATACAGTGAACATTTGAGAATGAAAATTTTAGATTTTTTAAGTAGCAATTTTGTATATTTCTAATTTCATTTTATAGCTGCGTACTTAAAATTTTTCAAATTATCATTTCCATTATCAATCCAATCAACATTCATTATCCCAAGCCATAATACTTCACATTACATACGAAAATTATCAAAATTAGATCCAATTTCGATCGATTAACAATAAAAATTTCCTATTTTCCCAGCAATTTCCTTAACATCAAATTGCTATAAATGCGATAATCTTACAAATCGAACAGCAATAAAATTTCAGTGCCTCGTCAATCGGTGCCATTAAAAAACATCTATAAAATTTTAATAAGCCATTATGCAAATAATAAAAAACATTCAAGAAACAATGACAAACTAACATAATATTTACATTAATTTACGAAAAAAAAGGTTCCACAATGCTTCATTGTTCTTTACAGAACTGTATTTTATTCAGGCGATAATGCATGGAAAAAAGGAACTCTATGATAAATTATAAGTTGGGTTAAAACTATGTTTAATCAACTTTATGATCATTTATCATTTTCGCTGTAATTTTTCTTCCACTTTTCGTTCATCCATTGTGAATGTCATGTTTACTTTTGCCTTGCCTTAGTTTACCTCAGCTATTTTTTTTTGCTTGCTGTGTGATGGTGTGAGGGGTTGTGGAGATGAGAGTAGAAATTCTGAGGTGCTAACCTTTAAAAAAAATTGAAAACGCGGTTCAATGGATGTTAAATTGGTTGATTAGCAATGTCAAGACACTAATCAATCCTATTCCCGAATGGCACAAGTCGGTTAATCGATCAGAAATCTAGCGTCAAGCTAGTGTGACTCTAGTTTCGATTTAAATCCAGCACCATGCCAGTGTCACACTGGCTTAAAGCCGGTTTTCTGATCGATTAGCCGACTTGTGCTATTCGGGATCCCTCTGACCCTCAAATCAGCGATGATCAATAGCTACTCAGTACACGGTGTCATCAGGACCTTCGCTTCTACGCTACTAGATACAATATATCTCAAGCATGATGCTGCTTAAATTAGTTGCTTTAAAATGCGCCCTAAAATATCATTTAAAATTGAAACTTTTCCCGGAGAGCACAAGTCGGATAATCGAGATGAAATCCTACGCAAGGAAGATATCACGGCGACTTTAGGGCAAATTTTTCGTCATGACGAGAAATTCACCCTTAGATCGTAACCACGTCGCCCTAGCGTAGGATTTCATCTCGATTATCCGACGTGTGCTACTCGGGTTTTCTATTCTTTAACTTCTCAATTCTACTTTTAGCCAAAACCTCACTTTACTTAATTTAATTTTACTTCTTCTATCTTATTTACTTCAAATCTCTTATCCATCTCATTCCAAAAAACTCACCCATCTCAAAAGTTTTTCATTTTTCTATTTTGGCCTCGTGCAACAGAAAAAGTAGAAGTGAAAAATATTGTTGGTTTTTAAGCTTCTCTTTTAATGGGGTTTTTTTGGGGATAAAGTAACTTTAAATGATGTTAGGGATGTGCTCAAAAATAAAGAATCAATAAAGAGGTCAAAAATTTTAATTCTCAATGTTACATAACATTTAAATGACGCCCATTTAGTTTTTAAAAAAATCGGAAGTCAAAAAAGACCCTTTTTTGTTGTTATC